CTTATATGTGCCACGCTTCCCCTCATGGAGGGGCTCGGAGTCGCTTGGAGCCCCCCCCCCCCGCGCAAGGTGGCCTGGGCTTAAGGGGAAAGAAGAAGAACCTCTCCCCCCCCCCCGCAGAAGTGATTTTTTGCCAAATGAGATGGTCATGAATGGTTCAGATGAGGGGGGGGGTTAGGGAAGGGGGGACATCCACATGTGCCCCATATGACCTACAGTTGGCTGGCGTATAAGCTTAGAAAGGGAAAAGAGAAAAGGACAATTCAGGCCCTAAAAAATGAAAACCAAGAAACAAAGTATAGAGTCAAACCTGGTTCTCCCAGATTAGAGTCCGCACACCCAACCACTACACCAAACTGGCTCTCAAGGAGAAGGAGAAAACTTTGGGTTTGCGCCTGGTGGGGGAAAAACTACTGTGGAGAATGTCACTTAATGGGCAGTTTTAAAAATGTCAATGCAGGGAATTTTTACTACTGTGGAAATGGTCTGAGCGTCAAGGTGGTGGTCCTGTAATACCTCCCCCAAAATTCCACAGTGGGAGGGGGAGGGAAGCCCCGAGAACACGCCCTGGCAGCAGCAGGCAGCGTTGGGGGGGGGTCTCTCTTCTAAGGCTTCTGGCATGGCTATTTGTGGGGCAGGGCCCCCCAAATGCCACACTCTAGCTAAGGGCCTGACCCAGCAACTGCCCGTTCACCCCCGTTCTCTGTGGCTGTTTCTGCACTGTGGAACAGCCTTGCGGAGGCTTTTAGGGAGCGCCCCCCCCCAGGCTTCCTTCATTTTGCAAAATGGAGTTGTCCAGGAGGATGTTTTTGTTGAGAGAGCCAAGCTGGGGTGTGATGGTGTCCAGCTCAGAAGGGGGGGACTTTTATGAGGGATAAAGTCTGTTCCGTACTAATTGTTTTGTTGCCTTTAAGAGGTATTTTGGCTTGCTTGGTTCCTTGTTTAGTTCCCCCTGCATTCTACCACACTTGTAGTCTGCCTCTAACCCCTGACAAGGTGGAATAATAATAATAATAACAACAATAATAATAGTGAGGGTTACCTTCTAGGTGTAGTGGTTAAGTGCGCGGACTCTAATCTGGGAGAACCAGGTTTGATTCCCCACGCCTCCACTTACAGCTGCTGGATGACCTTGGGCAAGCCGTAGTTCTGATAAGAGCTGTTCTCTCTCAAGGACAGTTCTTGAAAGAGCTCTCTCAGCTCCACCTGCCTCACAGGGTGTCTGTGGTGGAGAGGGGATGGGAAAGGAGTTTGTAAGCCACTCTGAGACACCTTTGGGTAGTGAAGGGCCGGGTATGAATCCAATCCCTTCTTCTTCATTCATGCCCTCTCCCTGCTCATGGTGGGGCCTCTGTGCATGTCTGGACACTCAGTTCTGCCTTGTCACCCTGTTAAGGGAATTTCCTAATTCTAATGAAACCCCCCCCCCTCCTTTGAGATCTTTCTGGGATGGATTAAAAACTATAAAAAGAAGTCCCAAGCCGGGTGGAGGGGTCCGAAGGTCTAGGTGCAAGAGCTGAGCCGAAGAGTACTGCCCAGAGTGTGGAGTTAAATGCTGCTACCAATTAGCCAGCTGTACAATCGGCCAGGCTCCTGTTAGAACTCTGGGCTGGCTGAGCGCCTCCCTTGTAGCCTGGCCTCTCTTGTCCTGGTTGCTAAGTTTTGCGGCAGTCGCTCCCTTAAACGAGTCACATGTGGGGGTGAGTCAGGAGGACTTTCAGCTTGCAGTTCTTCCACCTTATCTGGGCCAGGTGTGAAGACTGCCGTTACAGGTAACTGCCAGCTATCCTCCTCTGCTGCTTCAGAGGGGCCAGCTGCGGTTTCTGCAGGCTCTGTCAGCTCTCCCTCATCCACGCCCATGACAGACGGTCCCCTTAACTCTGCCTGCCTTTCTCTTTCTCTCCCTCCTCCAGGCTCCTCCACCTGCTACCGGCTCCCCTTCTACCTGTGGGGCACTGGGCCCCGGCCGGGGCTTCCCGAGTTCAGCATCTCGGGCTACGTGAGCAACCAGCTGTTCGTCAAGTATGACAGCTTCACAAAAAGGGCTGTGCCCCAACTCCCTTGGATGGGAGAGTTTGGGCAGGAGGACAGCTGGATCTCATGGACAAGAGAGTTTGTGCTCCAAGCGGACCTGGTGGCGCTGTGGGATTGCTACAACCAGAAAAACAGCACAGGTGAGTGGAGGGGGAGGGGCCAGCCACAGCACCTCCCCTCCGCTGTCCCTCCCCAGGGCAAGAGAAGGGGGAGGGGCTACACCTCAGGAAGGAGGGAGAAGCAGCAGCCCCCCTCTCCAGTTAGCACAGATCTGGCCCGTAGCTAACATGGGGGCCATGGGGCTTGGCCCCCTAGTGTTTCTTCTGGGCCCCCTCCCTCTTGGGCTGCCCCCAAAAGTGCTCCAACTTACCACCTGCACTGTACTTTCATTTAATTAACTGGTGGAGCCCCCCCCCCGAGGCCTCCTCCCAAAAAATCCCTAGCTACGGGGCTGGAGCAGATGTGTGGGGAGGGGAGTGCGCCGACTGTACCTCCCCTTTGCCCCAGAGGGGGAGATCAAAAGCACATTGACTGTCCTGGTGGGCTCCAGTGGGGTAGAGTGCGGGAATCCCCCCCACAGGAGAGGAGAATCGAGAGAAGCACAGTTCCCGTATCCTGTAGTTTGGATGCTGTTTTCGGGAAGGGGGGGGGGCTGGAAACTCCCACAACTAGAGAAGGAGCATGAAAGATAGAAGGTGTGGCATTCCCCTCCCCCATTTCTCCTCTGAGCCGTGGGGGGGGGGGCGCTGCTGGCTGATGGAGGAATGGAGGACTTGGGGGAATGTCTTCTTCCTTTTTTACTTCAGAAATTCACGTGTCCCCCTCCCTTGAGGTGACAACCCCCCACCCCATATCCCCAGGGGCAAAAGAGGGGCCTTGCTCAGCACTACTTTGGGGGATGGAATCAAAGGTGACTCCCCTCCCCCTTTGATAGCGACCCCCACCGTGGGAGGAGGGACTGGTGACAGCCGCCCAGTTCTAGACAGGCTCAGTGCAAATTCTGTAGGTTCCCACATCTTGTTTGTATCCATAAATAGTGTCACTCTCACCAGAGTTTTTTCAGTGGTTGCCCAATATTTTTTTCCAGTTTTTCCACTGAGAAATATTGAAAAAGCTCTGTAAAAAGAAGTCTTGCTCCATGTTGCCATGGGAGAGAAAGGGCAGGGCTATTTTTGGGCAGGAACGCACAGGAACGGAGTTCCGGCTGGCTCCCAAGTTGGCCACGCCCAGCAGGAACTCATTAACATAATAGGCCACACCCAACAGCAGAAACTCATTAGGACTGGCTACAATTAGGGGTGTGTGGCCTAACATGCAAAGGAGTTCCTGCTCAAAAAAAAAAAAGCCCTGGGTTTTGACCACAAACAAGGTAAAGAGAATAAGAAGCAAAGGGTGGGTGTGGCTGGATGACCACACTTCTGGTAACACGGGGGTGTGGCCTAATATATGAATGAGCTGTGCTGTCATGGGTGTGGCCTAATATGCTAATGAGTTCCTGCTGTTGGGTATGGCCTATTATGCTAATGGGTTCCTGCTGGGACTTTTCTACAAAAAAAGCCCTGGAGAAAGGCATCCCTTTGGAACGCGGGAGAGAAAGAGAGATGAACACACACACACCCCACACACACAGGAGACTCCACTTGAAGGGGCCTCAAGTTGGGGAGGGGAAATGGGAATGGATATGCCCCAAGCCAATGGACCCCCCCCCCGTCAAATCCTATCTCATCCTAATAAATCCCCCCCCAAGTGTGTAGGAACCACAATCAATGAAACAAGGGGGAGACATCTGCTCTTTCCCCCACATACACACACTCAGAAGCTTGCCTTTCCACTAATTGTTTCTTCTCCTAGGAAGCAGGTCGCTGTGGGGGAGGGGAAGAGGCGAATGTCCTCCGGGGCAGCCCCTTTGGCTAGTGGGGAGCAGAGAGGCACTGGTGGGAGGGCCTTGCCCTTCTGCCACCCTTTCCTTCAAGTGGGGAGAGACCCCTGTGATGGATTGCACAGAAAAGCAGGATTTAAAATGCTGCTTCCTTCCCCACCCCCTTAGAGAAGTTGGGAGATTAGGAGTTAATCGTCCCTGGAGTGGAGAGCTTATTTGATTGGCCACCCGTTGTGTTCTCTGATTGGCCAGCCTTAGCTGGGAAAAAGTATAACACCAGCTGTTCTAGAGGGGAAGGAGGTTTCCATCTATAACAGGAGTCAGTGTTCTGACAGGGTTAGTCAGAGAGGTTCTTCTTCAGAGAGAAGGGACTACTTTGCCCTAACCGTATTAGAACTACTCTGAGGGAGAATTGAGGGTCTAGGTCCTGAAGGCTACAAACTGCTTTACACAGACAAAAGTACTGGAAGACAGATTTGGCAAGGGTGACTGGCCAGTTAGGCTGAAACTCCCATTGAAGCCAAGTAGAACAGGGTTATTGCTTCTTAGAGAAAAGGAGAATAATTCCTGCCGGTTAAAGGGGTTGTGTTCTGAGAAGGACCCAGGGTCTGTAGTAGAAGCTGTGGACACCTCAGGAGTTAGTAGAAATCTGATATTTCTGAAGAGAGTAACCAGATTCCAAAGGGAGAAATGTAGAAACACTAAGAAGGAGCTATACTCCAAGAAACTCTTATGAAGAAGCTGTGTTATTTCAGAAAAGAACTAGAAAAGACTAGAAAAGAACTAGAAAACTATAACCACACTCTCTTATATATCCTAAGATCTCAAGTTTGTATATGTTATAAAGTTTTACCTCAGCATTTCTAAACCTTGACTTCTAATTATATATATATTCCCTGCCTATTGAATAAAATCTTTGTTCTATTTTGAAAGTTCCTCAGCCTTGAGTGCCATTTCAAAAAAGTTTAAGATTAAGACAAGACAGCTCGTGTGTTCCCCTCAGGTTCCGGTGCTGGGTCCAAAGCCAAAACAGAGTGGGACAGTTTTTACCTTTTAAGACAAAGAAGAAATACATGCTTCTTGGGGTCCACTCAGTCACTGAGGGGAAGAAAATCTGCCCGAGTGTTGGGAAGAGACGGGTCCATCATAAACTCCCCTCCCCCACAAACACACCCCAAACGTCCCACCCCCTCTCATCACGTGTCTCTTGCAGGGCTCCACACCTGGCAAAACATGTACAACTGCGAGGTGGGGCCGGACGGGCGGTTCAGAAGGGGGCATTGGCAGTTCGCCCACGATGGGGAGAACTTCATCGCCCTGGACATAAAGACCCTCACCTGGACGGGTCACGACGCGCCCCAGGACCCAGAGACCAGGAGGAAATGGGAAGCCAAGACCCCAGAAGCCCAGTTCCAGAGGTCCTACCTGGAGGAGGAATGTGTGGCGTGGCTGCAGAAGTACCTGGACTATGGCAAGGAGACCCTCGTGAGGACAGGTGAGGAGCACCGTTGGGTGGCAAAAAAACCTCCACCAAGCAGAAGAGGGCCCGGGTGTCCCCCATGTGTAAAGACCATTTCCGGAGCTGGGAATTCCCTTGAGTTCTCCTCTCCATTCCCCTTCTGGAATAGGGATTTTTAAAAAAATGGTTAGGGGATGAGCTGAGCACCTAAAGGCAAGGCTCCTTCTCCAGTGCCTCTGCCACACACACACACCCTGACAGAACAGTACCATTTCCTTCTGCCCTCTGGGAAAGCCTTCACTGCGGAGGGTATGCTCACACTCCTGGCCCCCTTCCCATTATAAACTCAATGCTTGCTGATATAGGTTGATGAATGATCTCCAGTTTGGTGTAGTGGTTAAGTACACGGACTCTAATCCAGGAGAACCGGGTTTGATTCCCCGCTTCTCCACTTGCAGCTGCTGGATGACCTTGGGCAAGCTATAGTTCTGCCAGAGCTGCTCTCTCAAGGACAGTTCTGAAAAGAGCTCTGTAATGATTTCATATTTTGGTGTGTGTGTTTCTTTAAATGTTTAGTGTGACTGCAGTAATGTAAGGAGAGTGACAGAGGGAGATAAGTGTGATGTGCTTGGCTGATGACTGAGAGTGTGGGAGGAGAGATGTCTCGAGGTGATTCTGTATTCTTGAAGGGACGAGTGTGAAGAGTTTTTGAGAGAGACGGTATGATAGAGGAAGCAGTTGGAGTTTAGCCTGTGTGGCTATATGAGAGAGTTTAGCCTGTGTGGCTATATGCGAGAGAGAGATAAGTCTGTCAGAGTTGAGTTTTGGTGTATGGGAGACTGTGTGTGACCAGTGTTCCCTCTAAGCTGAGTTAGCGTGAGCTAGCTCACAGTTTTTTAGCCTCTGGCTCACACATTTTTGTCTTCGCTCAGGAAGGAGGGCTCCAGAGCAAACTAATTTATGCAGTAGCCAAATCACTCGCTCACAACTTTAATGCCAGCGGCTCACAGAGTAGAATTTTAGCTCACAAGACTCCACAGCTTAGAGGGAACATTGTGTGTGATGCCAAGACTTGTCAGTTATATTTTCTTTCTTCAACAGTTCAAAAATATCCAGAAACCTATTTTGTTCTTTTATAAATAAATAATTATTTGTTTAAACTTATCCCAACATTCAAAACAGTTCTTCCTCAGGGCCACATAGTCCTCTGAAGAGCCCAGACACTGGGTCATTCTAACACAATAGAGTTGGAATTTTTAATTCCTGGTGGCAGCAGAAAATCTACAAAGTTCATGTACACAGAGTGTGTTTTATAGGAGAAACAGTCTCCCCAATAAGCAGGAAGTCACAAGCTCTCTCAGCCCTGCCTACCTCACAGGGTGTCTGTTCTGGGGAGGGGAAGGGAAAGGAGTCTGTAAGCCGCTCTGAGACTCTGAGTGAAGGGTGGGGTTTAAATACAATCTCTTTTCTTCTTCTTTTCCTTTTGCTTGCCTCACCCTGTTCCTCTTGCTGGTAGACTTAGGGGCTGACCCTTCTGTGGGAGTAGCGGCAAATGTTTTTGGAGGGGTGGCTCCAGGGTTTGAAGTGTGTGGGAAGCCTCTCTTAGGGAGGCTTCTCAGGCATTTTTCCGTGGAGGGGGACCCAGTAAAAGTTGGATTGAGAAGAATTTAAGTGGAGCCTCTCAAATTCCCGTGTTTTTTTTACGTGGGGACAGCACTTCACCAGGGTAGAATTCCGGCTCATATTCTTGCTTATAGGAAACCCCACCCAAATCATATGTTTGGCACTGGAGCTACAAAAAGCTCATAATAAAATATGGATGGTCACACGTTTTTACAGAGTCCCTCAACATTCACCACCAAATCTGTCATCACAGCTGTCATGGCCACACGCTGAATCGCAAAAACTGGATGTACCATTTTCTAGTCCTCCCCCCCAGGGCTTCTGAGAAGGGGACCAGCAGGGCCGTTTGACACTTTTGATGTTAGCTCTGAATTCGGTTACGGTTACAGACACAGAGATACTAGCCTAGAGTCCCTTCCACCTTCCCTGAGAAGTTATCGCAGATTATCGCTTGCTGGCGTCAAAAACGGTGACGATTCAGGATGAAGGTATCTTTTCTATTCTGACAGTTAGTAAAATATCAGTGTAAGGACTGAGTGTCTTGGAGCATGTGCAGAGGGCATTGTATCTTGCAGAGAGTTGAAAAATCTCTGGCCACAACTTTTTTTCCCCTGCCTCTTTGAAGGGGACCAGGCTGGTTAGCAATGCTCCCTCTAAGCTGTGGAGTCTTGTGAGCAAAAAATTCTACTTTGTGAGCTGCTGGCATTAAAGATGTGAGCAAGTGATTTGGCTACTGCATCGATTAGTTTGCTCTGGAGCCATCCCTTCCTGAGCTAAGACAACAAAATGTGTGAGCCGGAGGCTAAAAAACTGTGAGCTAGCTCACACTAACTTCTAATGTCCTGGCCCCACTGGTGGACCTTCTGATGGCACTGGTATTTCTGGCCACTGTGTGACACAGAGTGTTGGACTGGATGGGCCTTTGGCCTGATCCAACATTGGCGTCTCTTATGTTCTTATGTAACTCAGCTTAGAGGGAACCTGAGATGGCCTGATTTGGTACCTCTCCAGTGTGTGCATGCGTGGAGGAGGAGTCGTATTTCTTGCTTGATTTGCGAAAGAATATGTTAAAGGTCATTTAGGGGGGAAACCTACGATGTGTGTTAAGGAAAGCCAGTCTCCAATCCTCCACCTTCGGGAGATGCAGCGTGTTAACACAGGGTGATGTTGCCCTTTCCACAGAGCGGCCAGTGGTGAGGGTGGCACGCAACAAGGGCCATGATGGCCAGGAGACCCTCATCTGTCACCTCTACGGCTTCTACCCCAAGGTGATCTACGCCACCTGGATGAAGGACAGGGAGCACCGGACGCTGGACACATTTACGGAAGGTTCCCTCCCCAACTTGGATGGGACTTACTACACATGGCTCAGCATCGAAGTTGACCCCAAGGAGAGGGACCTCTACCGGTGCCACGTGGAACACCACAGCCTCGCGGAGCCCCTGGACTTGGCCTGGGAGGAGCCAGGTGAGCGACTGCGGGGGGGGGGGAGGAGAGGCCGGTTCCCTTGGGGCAGGGGGCTGGCAGAATCTGGAATTGAGTATGTTTGAGGAAGGGGGAGACTCAATAAAAAGCCCCCCCCCGCAAGGTCACAGTTTAGAGCAGCTACTCACAACTTCAATGCCAGTTGCTCACAAAATAGAATTTTTGCTCACAAGACTCTACAGCTTAGAGGAAGCGTTGGTTAGCACCCCCACTGAATGTCTAGGGACCTACTGGGAGATGCTGCATAAATTAGTTTGCTCTGGAGCCATCCTGAGGCAGCTTGGTGTCGTGGTTAAGTGCGCGGATTCTAATCCGGGAGAACCGGGTTTGATTCCCCACTCCTCCACTTGCAGCTGCTGGATGACCTTGGGCAAGCCATAGTCCTGGCACAGCTGTTCTTGAAAAAGAGCAGTTTCTGTCAAGAGCTCTCTCAGCCCCCCACCTACCTCACAGGGTGTCTGTTGTGGGGAGGGGAAGGGAAAAGGAGATTTGTAAGCCGCTCTGAGACTCCTTTGGGTAGTGAAGGGCGGGGTATAAATCCAATCTCTTCTTCTTCTTCTTCTTCTACCTCACAGGGTGACTGTTGTGGGGAGGGGAAGGGAAAGGAGTTTGTAAGCCACTCTGGGACTCCTTTGGGTAGTGAAGGGCGGGGTATAAATCCAATCTCTTCTTCTTCTTCTTCTTCTACCTCACAGGGTGACTGTTGTGGGGAGGGGAAGGGAAAGGAGTTTGTAAGCCACTCTGGGACTCCTTTGGGTAGTGAAGGGCGGGGTATAAATCCAATCTCTTCTTCTTCTTCTTCTTCTACCTCACAGGGTGACTGTTGTGGGGAGGGGAAGGGAAAGGAGTTTGTAAGCCACTCTGGGACTCCTTTGGGTAGTGAAGGGCGGGGTATAAATCCAATCTCCTCCTCCTCCTTCAGACAGAGACCACTGGTGCTAGCCAGTCTGTGGCACCCCTGTGTCAAAGGGGCTGGGGCTGAGCAGGAAGAATGTCCGGGGTGGCTCTGGGGCCCCGTCTCTGTCTGAGGAGTGGTGGCGGCAGGGTGTGGGGGTTCCATGGGGAAAGTCCTCAGTGCGATTCCTGCCACCCCCAGCAACCTGAGACGCTTTGGCTGGGAGATCCCACCCTGAGGCCTTGGAGGGCAGCAGCCAGGCTGAATAAAGATGACATTCCCCCCCTCCCCCTTCCATCCTCAGCATCCAACCCGGGGATCATTCTGGGCATCATCCTGGCTGTTCTGAGCCCCGTAGCCAGAAATTTTGGGTTAGTGGGGGCATGGGGCAGTTTTGCAGGGGGGAGGGCGGCCGCCCACCTTCCCTGAACCCCAAGTGGCTATTTCGCTAAATGAGAGTCATCCCAACCAATGTTCCCTCTAAGCTGTGGAGTTTTGTGAGCAAAAATTCTACTTTGTGAGCTACTGGCATTAAAGTTGTGAGCGAGCAATTTGGCTGCTGCATAAATTTGTTTGCTCTGGAGCCATCCTTTCCTGAGCTGAGACAAAAATGTGTGAGCCGGAGGCTAAAAAACTGTGAGCTCGGCTCAAGTGGTTAAGACGCTGAACTGCAGGCTGTGGAAGGTCGGTCGTTCAGCAGTTCGAGACCCGAGTGTGCCGCATGACGGAGTGAGCTCCCGTCTCTAGTTCCAGCTCCTGCCAACCTAGCAGTTCGAAAGCAAGAAATTGCAAGTAGATAAATAGGGACCACTTCGGTGGGAAGGTAACAGCGTTCCGTGCGCCTTGGTGTTTAGTCATGCCGGCCACATGACCACGGAAACGTCTTCGGACAGCGCTGGCTCTTCGGCTTTGAAACGGAGATGAGCACCGCAACCCTAGAGTCGGATTCGACTGGCTTTCGAGCAAGGGAACCTTTACCTTTACCTTTTTAGCTCACACTAACTCAGCTTAGAGGGAACACTGATCCCAACCGTTCCCTTGAACCACGATTCGCTAGGGGAATCTTTTGGAAGCTGGTTAAAAGGGGATTGGAGGAGTATCTGCCGGGGTGGGGTCGAGGGTTGAAAACCCAAGAGGCTAGCTTCACTGCACAGGGTACAGATAGATGGCCTCTGTGTGCCCCTTCCGGCTATGACTTCCTGGTTTTCTCTCTGCAGAAAAACGGAAAGAGAAGGGCTACTACGCGGCATTCAACTGAGTTGTGTCCCTTCCTCTCCGGGGTGTTCCTTCAACATGGGAGATGGGGGTGGGGAGTGGAGGGCCTGTTGAAGGATCAGCTGACAGCTCCACAGCCTCCCCTTCCCCATTGCTGTGGCCTAGGAAAGGGAGGGGGGGTCTTAGTCCCTCTACAGCCGGGTGGCTTCTTGGTTACAGACATACCGAGTCCAAGCAGAACCTCCGGAGAGCCGATCTCAAGGCCAAATTATGTGAGAAACAGGAATAAAAACATCTGAAATTTCTCTATCCTGCCTCTTCACAAAATGCTCCAAGCAGCTAATAATAAAACCAAATAGCAAAACACTATCGGTTTGTAAACATCCGCAGGAATGGAAAGCAAAAGCTAGACACTAAGAATCATCAGGGTTTTTTTCATTTGAACCAAGAGGCAGGGTGTAAATGTTTTAATAAACACGTCAGTTTAATTTCAGTAATTGTGAGTTGTATAATCTGGAAGATCCAGTCCCAGAGAGACAGAACTGAAACTCTGACCGGGACCTTCCAAATGGGCAGTGATTGGGCTGCAAGAGGCCGCCCTTCCTAGTTCCGTGGGTAGTTTTGGGATTTAAAATATGCCCAAACTTCGTCATCCCGGAGCCCACATGAAAATTGGGGGGCTTGATTTCCAAGTGCTGCTCTTCCCAGGAAGCAGGAACCCCACTTTCTCCCCCCACCATTTCTCAGGCCAGGCTTTGTCACTTTCACTCTGGCTCCATTGCTGAATTGCAACTGATAACAAAGCTCAAGACAATGCTTCCTAGACAATGCATCCTCCTGGACTGAATCGAGACCTAAGTTTCCTGTCTCATGACCAATGCTGATTTGTCCAGGCTTACTACCTCTCTTCATATCACACCTAATCCAACCGCACCTGCTATTGTAATTTGCCTGTTAATTAATTAAATTTAGGCTTTTTCTCAGCACAGGAACTTGACTGAAAATACAGGAGCGGTCTTTGTCTTATATTTAAACCCTTAATGAAGTGGCACTTTCAAAAACAGAACAGAGATCTTATTAAACAGGCAGGGTATATATGTATAATACGAGGAGTCAAGGTTTTGAGATTGCTGAGGTAAAAACTTTCTAATATATACAGATTTGAATTCTTAGAACATTCAAGAGAGTGTATTTGAAATTTAGTTTCAAGGTTTTTGTAGTTCTTTCTTTGAGAGATACTTTGCTTAGTATATTTCAGCACTAATGCAGTTATTAACGTTTCTTCTGGAAGACAGCATTTGCTTAAAGTTTCTAGATTTTGTCCTTCAGAGTTCTAAGTTTTCCCTTTAGATATTACAGCTTTTCACTAACTCCGGAGGTGTCTAAGCTTCTCCCCTTTATCGCAGACCAGGGGTCTCTTCCCAACTCCTTTTACTATTTGGCTTGTATGGGAGTTCTAATTACCCAAACCATCTGTCAAATCATTCTCCAGTATCCATATAAGGCTGTTCTGTAACTTTCCTGACTGAGAATATGAGTTCTCCCTCAGAGCAGGTTTAGTATATTTAAGACAATGGGGATTCTCTTCTTCTCTCTGTAGAAGTACTTTTCTGAGTATTGGCCTGTCAGAAAACACTGACTCCCAAACGTCTCTTCCCTCAGAAGCCAAACCCTCTGGCTATTGATCCAGACATTAGATTTCAGACAAAGACCAAAAGGCAAATTCCTCTTTTTCCCTCCAGATCAGCTGTTTTCTTTCCTCTCTAAGCGGATGCCGGCCAAGCACATAAGCTCTTCTCTCCGGGGAAGGTTAACTCCTAACCTTCCTGACTCTCTGTACCAAGCAGCATTTTACAAAACCTGCTTTTCTTTGCAATCCGTCACAGAGGGTATGTGCCGGGGGGGCAGGTGGGATGGGAGTACAAAAGGAGCCGTGGCTATTGCAGCCCCCTCTTCACAAGCCCCCCTCGTGAACCTGACTCCCTGCCTCTCTCTCTCTTTCCTTCAGGTGATAGCAACCAGAGTTCTTATACCTCCACCCCTGGTGAGTATGTGGGATTTGGGATCCCCGTCTCAAAGAGGGAGGAGGCATTCTGTCAGCAGGGGCTGTGGCAATTGGAGTCCCTTCCCCATAAGCCCCCCATTGAACCTGACTCTCTCTTTTCAGGCTATAGCGACCTGGTGTCTGAGAGCTCCAAGTAAAGTATGTAGGAGTGGGGGGCAAACATCTTGCAGGTGGTGGGGGCCCTCTGTCAGCAGGGGCCGGAGGGGGGGCTGGGCACATGTTTTGCAGGGCTTCTGCTTTCCCCAGGGTCCAGATCACTCTGGCTTTCCAGGAGTTATTAAATACAGCAGTCAGGGAGGGGTTCTCTCATGGGTCAGGCCAGGCAATGCCCCTGTGGGCTTTCTGCCCCCACCTTGAAGGATGCAGCTTGGCTCACTTGCTTGAGATGGAGGCAACTGTTCTGTAGGGCTCCCAGGAAAACAAATGTGATGACACAGTACACTGGAATCGTGAAACAAGCAAGCACTGTATAAATAACGCAGACCAAAGAGTGCCCCAGTAATATACACAAAAGTGAAAACGTTTCTATAACAAGATAGCACAACACTAGCAAGGAATAACAAGGAACCGCATGTATAAGTAATAGCGAAATTACATAATGTAATACACAAGCACGTAAATAGTACAGAGGGAACAGAAGACACAGGGACGAAGACTCCGGATTTCAATCTTCGTTTCGATAGCTCTTCTTCAAAAACTTCATCATGCCTGGTTTTGATTGTTTTAATGTAAGGATTGGATTTTTGCCTGTATATACTGTTCTGAAGGCTTCTGTACACTATGAGTGCTTTATGAAGTATGATGAAGTTTTTGAAGAAGAGCTATCGAAACGAAGATTGAAATCCGGAGTTTTTGTCCCTGTGTCTTCTGTTCCCTCTGTACTATTTACGTATTTGTGTATTACATGATGTAATTTTGCTATTACTGATACATGTGGTTCCTTGTTATTCCTTGCTAGTGTTGTGTTACCTTGTTATAGAAACGTTTTCACTGTAGGGCTCCCAAACAGCCTAGAGAAAAAAAGTCTTGTCCCTTTAAAAGAGGCCTAAGGATACATCGTTTTCTAGGGGGGATGTTATTTATCTCCAAGCCATGAAAAGCATCAGGCGTCCCTTTCCACACACATTAAGCCTCTCTCAAGATCGACAGGTCACTTTTTCCCCTCACCTCTAGATTGCTGGCAACCCCAGCTCTCTCCCTGCAGGACATTTTCTGTGTCGTCTTACCTTAATCGTTATGTGTTTTGTTTCCACAGAGCACTTGTGAGAAGAAATCCCGGGGAATCGAGCGACTCACCTGTATGTCAAGGAGTCCAACGCTGAACCCAGGGCAATTGTACACCACCAGCCAGACGTTATTTTTGTAATAAATATTATTTCTGTAGTACTGGGCCCGAAGCTTTTAAACTTGTTCATTAATGATTTGGAGTTGGGAGTAAGCAGTGAAGTGGCTAAATTTGCAGATGACGCAAAATTGTTCAGGGTGGTGAGAACCGGGGAGGATTGTGAGTCTCACTCCAAAGGGATCTGTCAAGGATGGGCGAGTGGCAAATGGGATTCAATATGGCCAAGTGCAAGGTGCTGCACATTGGGGCGAAAAACCCTAACTAGAAATACACGTTGATGGGGTCCGAACTGGCGGAGACCAACCGAGAGAGAGATCTTGGACTCATAGTCAGTGTTCCCTCTAAGCTGTGGAGTCCTATGAGCAAAAATTCTACTTTGTGAGCTACTGGCATTAAAGTTGTGAGCGAGCGATTTGGCTACTGCATAAATTAGTTTGCTCTGGAGCCCTCCTTCCTGAGCGAAGACTAAAATGTGCGAGCTGGAAGCTAAAAAGCTGTGAGCTAGTTCACACTAACTCAGCTTAGAGGGAACACTGGCGACTCGTAGTAGATAACTCACTGAAAATGTTGACACAGTGTATACTATCAGGTGTCATAAAGGATGAGATGTAGGAAGAGATGGATTGATGATGTTGTAATGAGTTTATTCCTCTTCCATCTTCTAGTGCAGAACGCACGTTGGGACCAGTGTTCTCATGGGTTACATGCGCTAGGAACAAAAAGGAAAAAGGGGAAAAAACTGAACCTAAAACTTAGAATTCAGAACCTGAAAAGGTTAGTCAAGACTAGAAGAGGGCCAACTCTAAAAATCATACAAAAATATACATGTATTTATTACACACAAATTAAAATAACAAAGAAGGGCCCATTCATACCTCATAAACATATATATAAAAACATACAAGGGCTAATAAAATAGACCTAACGCGTTTCGGCCTTTACAGGCCTTCCTCAGAGGTCTAATACACATAGAACATATAGGCTGATATATAAAAATATAGACAATCATACATATCCAAAATATGCAATAAAGACCAGAGATCAATTGTTCCAAAGTATAACCACTGGGCAAGGAAGGGAAATACAAAAATACAAATGAAGCCTCCAGTGCAATCACATGTCCAGTAGCACTTCTCTCCGGTCAACTATATATTCTTCTATGATTGTACAGCCAAATGTTCCCAATGAAGTGGGAACATATGTTCTATGTGTATTAGACCTCTGAGAAGGCCTGTAAAGGCCAAAAACGCGTTAGGTCTATTTTATTAGCCCTTGTATGTTTTTATATATATGTTTATGAGGTATGAATGGGCCCTTCTTTGTTATTTTAATTTGTGTGTAATAAATACATGTATATTTTTGTATGATTTTTAGAGTTGGCCCTCTTCTAGTCTTGACTAACCTTTTCAGGTTCTGAATTACATGCGCTAGGTGCATTAATCTTCTGACTGGCAGCACATTGATTTTTCCTTTTTTCAGGGTGGGGAGAAGGAAGGCAGAGGCGACAGCTTATTGCCAGCAGAGGACATGATGCAGCCGGGCCTGGGCGTTAACTCCATCCCTTTTCCCCGCAGCGGCCTGGATCACAGTCCGGGCCTTGAGAAGGCTGCACCCTCCAGCTGCAAGCGAGCGATCAAGTGAGCAAGCAGTGTGGGGAGGGACACACCTTAAGGTGCAGGAACATGCGTGGCGCTCTGAGGATCCTCAGGTTCAGCTGGGGTGAGAAGGGCGCTGCCACACGACTCAGCTATGGGGCTTCAGGCAAAGGGAGACTGGCAAGGTGAGCCTCACTGCCAGAGCAGATCCCAGAGTGCAGCCAGGAGTATCTGCAATGTCTCGGGTCCTGGCCCTTCCAGCCGCTCTTTGGGGAGTTAAAGTGTTGCAGCCGCCCCTTTTCCGGCATGGTGGCAGAGGGGGAGACTTGACCTTTTTTTTGCAGATGAGGCGTTTCCCCTCCCTGCGTGCCAAGGCAATGTGCCAGGATCTGGTCTGGATTCTGTAACAGTGACCACCAATGTTCCCTCTAAGCTGTGGAGTCCTGTGAGCAAAAATTCTACTTCGTGAGGCACTGGCATTAAAGTTGTGTGTGAGCGATCTGGCTACGGCATAAATCAGTTTGCTCTGGAGCCCTCCTTCCTGAGCTAAGACGACAATGTGTGAGCCGGAGGCTAAAAAACTGTGAGCTAGCTCACACTAACTCAGCTTAGAGGGAACACTGGTGACCACCCCTGCCTCAGTTCCCATGATGGGAATGGAAAAGAACAATAAAGCGCCTATCTTTGCGCCTCTGAGCTCAGGAAATTACTCTTAATGAGCCAGTTAGAGGGAAGCTTCTGGGACCCCTAACTGAGAACTACAATTCCCAGGTGTAACTACTCTTAAAGATACACAGCGGTTTTACTAAACTACAGTTAACGCTGGCTGGGGGCAGCACAGGCCCAAAAAGTCCCAGTTATGATTTCTTGGAAGGCGTTGGAGACTGTTCCTGCTGGGTCAGGAAAAGTCCGGCAGGAAGCACGGTGCATCACAGGGCAGAAATCCAACAGAGGCAGCCCCACCACCACTAAAGCTGCCCCTAACGATCTTCTGCCTGGGTTTCAAGGTCGAAGGGCCCAGCCTAGAAGAAAGGGAAAGGCACCCTCTATCCTGTCCCTGTGCAAAAGGGCCTGGCTACAGAAGCAGGAAGTCCCCAGCTCTGACTTCAAGCCATGAGAGGCTGCTTGACTGGCTGATTTGAATGTGTGTCGCTATGGAGATGCCCCGGTCTAGGAGAACTTTGCCGGTGCATGTTTTGAACTGAGTGCCCGGCGCTGCCTTTTCCGGGAAATCAGGCAAGTGTGAAGAAGAGGCCTTGCCCCCCTTCAGACACCAGAGGGCGCTGCTGCACCGTCACAGTTGGCTTTGGGCTTAATTCAGTCTGGGAAGTCAGACTGAACTGGGAGCTCTTTTTGACAAATGGATTACCTCACCCAAAGGAGATACGGCTGAAAAAGTACAGGATCTGAAGATACTTGACAAATTCTAATGCCACCTTCCCTCCAGTATTGAATTTCTTGTCAAGGAAAAATCACCTCGGGATGTTGCCCAAGCGGCAGAGTGGGCAGGCGAACAAAATGGATTTAGAGTCCAGTGCCACCATTAAGACCAACAAAGGTTTATTCAAGGTATGAGCTTCCGTGTTGACACACACTTCATCTAACACATTAGAATGGCAGACGAGGTTCAAACTTACAGCCAGAGAATGAGCAGGAAGTGGCGGCTGTTAGGGAAAGGAGCGCCAAGGGAATAAGAAACATTACAAGCGAGATTTCTGAGGGGAAGCTGTTTGGGGAGGAAAAAGTGCCGGATGCAGAAGCAGCCGAAAACGGAAGGAGGGTAGTGACGGAGCTCAATTTCTGCAGGAGCCAAAGTCTGACCCCAGCCTTAAATTAGCCTCTCCGAATTTCCACTGAGCAAACCAGAATTGTGAACCAGAAACCCACAGTTGTCTTTGAGCCAGCGTGGGAAGCAGAATCCAAAACAGGCCACTGTGATGGTGGTGTTCTGCTGTCAGACTCAGGTCTCTCGGGGAGATCCGACTTCAACTTAGCAGGACACCTACTGGGTGACCCTGTGCTAGCCTTTCTCAGCCTCACCCACTCCTTGGCCTGCGGCTTTTGCTGTTCAGGTGCCCCTGGCCTGGCCAGAAAGGCCTCCCCCATACCTGGATTGTAGGGCGTGGCCCTGGCTTCTCCCTCACCTGCTCTCCAAAAAGGCAGCTGCAGCAGCAGCAGCTTCCGGAGTCTCAGGCTTGGCTTATGTTACAAGTGTCCGGTGGGATCGGTGCCAAGGATTCTGCTGCTCAAGCACCTGGTCTTTGCATGGGGGTTCCTCAGTGGGGAGAGGCAGTCCTTTGTCTGGGGGGGGCATTTCCCCCCTTTGTTTGGGGAGGCATTTCCCCCCCTTTGTTTGGGGGGGCATTTTCCCCCCTTTGTTTGGGGGGGCATTTCCCCCCCTTTGTTGGTGGTGGGTGGGCTGGAGGTGCCTTGCAAGGCAATTTCACACTCCAAGTATGTTGTGCTCATAGCTGGATTCAGCAATAACTGGGCTTCTCAGGTAGCGGCAGAACCATCCGAGCTGGTGGTGGATTCTGGCAGGCCCCTTGATTCAACTCCACCACTGCGTTTGATGATCTGTGCCTCTCTACCACTGGAGTCGTTCAGCCTGCTTTCCGGGTGGGGGGGGGGGGGGGAGGCCAAGATCACAGTCAGTGCAGCAGGGGGCGGTGGAGGCTTGCTGGTGTCCCTTCCAGGGGAGAAAGGAATCCTTTGGTAGGGGGTCCCTCCACGTAGTAGGCTGCAACTCTTGACACCAACACCTTGCGGAACTAGAAAGAAGCCAGAAATGAAGCCAGACTGCTCGGAAATTGGGGCGGGGGGGGGGGAGCGAGCACACCTAAAATACTTATGAAACGAAAAGACCTCTAAGCTGTGCAGTCTTGTGAGCAAAAATTCTACTTTGTGAGCTGCTGGCATTAAAGCTGTGAGCCAGCGATTTGGCTAGTGCATCAATTCGTTTGCTCTGGAGCCCCTCCTTCCTGAGCGAAGACAAAAACGTGTGAGCTGGAGAACTGTGAGCTAGCTCACACTGACTCAGCTTAGAGGGAACACTGCTCCCGAGCACTGCAGCTCTTTGGGCGACCTTTCCCTGATGCACGAACCCCGCCAGCGCCGGGCTCTCCAGCAAGACAGGCAGCCCACCCTGGCCAAGAAAGGGGGGAGGGGATTCGGATTTCCGCTTCTACCCCAATTGGGGAGGGCGTCCTCCTGTGCCCACCAATGTTCCCTCTAAGCTGTGGAGTCCTATGAGCAAAAATTCTACTTTGTGAGCTACTGGCATTAAAGTTGTGAGCAGGCAATTTGGCTACTATTTAAATCAGTTTGCTCTGGAGCCCTCCTTCCTGAGCTAAGGCAAAAATGTGTGAGCCGGAGGCTAAAAAACTGTGAGCTGGCTCACACTAACTCAGCTTAGAGGGAACACTGGTGCCCACCCGCTGCCCACCGAGCAAGGAGGGCCGGGACGGAGCCTGTGCGACGGCTTCTCCTTTCCTCCCCGCCAGCA